CAGGGGGGTCACGTGACTATTTTTATCTAAATATAACAAAGTCGTCTGCAGTTGTAAATTCCTATTAGGTGAATTCAGTGACAATGAAGTAGGGTTATGTGTCGGGAGGGTTTGATTGAAAAATAAAGAACATCTATTTATTTATTGCTGTATTGGCATTTTTTATTGCTCAACACTGAAAAAAATCTACCAATATTCATTTTGGGCCTGTGCAATGATTTTTGTACTCGCCCTCAAAAAAAAAAGGGCCAGTCGAACCTACACTGGTACCATGGGCCTGTATTGAAGTAAGATGTACCATGGACCAGTATAGAAGTAAGAGGCATCATAGGCCTGTATTGTAGTTATAGGTAACATGGGCCTGTAGTCAAGTAAAATATGCAATAGGCCTGTATAGAAGTAAGAGGTACCATAGGTATGTATTGAACTAGAACTGTAAGCAAAACTAATATCCCCGATCTTATATAAACCAGAACTGTAAGCTAAAGGCTTTACTTAGGTAAAGCAATGTAGTCTCCGACCAGTAATGATTTCTTTATTGGCTGAGCTGTACACTTATTTTTTAAAGTATTTAGGTCACTCACATGCTTCCTGCACTTCCTCTCAATGCCAAAACATACCTGCAAACCAAATCTTGTTAGCCCAGATGAACGAGTTTTGCTGATATCCTTCTAGTAGTTAAGGAAGAGATATCAGGACAAAGATTTTTAACAAAGGGCCATAACTCCTTGAAAAGGGTCGAAATGAAAAAACAAATACCCTGATGTAGGAGGTAATAACCATATCTGTAAACTTTCATTGAAATTGGCCAAGTAATTTAAGAGGCAGACAAAGTTTTTTCAACAAAGGGCCATACCTCCTTTTAAAAGGGTTGGAATGAAAAAGTACTACTTGGATGCACAACATCAAGGGACTGTTGCCATATCTGTCAACTGTCTTTAAAAATGGCTAAGTAGATTAGGAGAAGTTGTCAGGACAAGGACCTTTCAACAAAGGGCCATAACTCCATAAAAAAGGGCTGGGCAATGAAATCCACCTGTTAGTTAAGGAGGAGTTGCGCGGACAAGTATTTCGCACAAAGGGGCATAACTCCATCAAAAGGGTCAAAATCCCAAATTAAAATGCCAGTGCACAACTACATAAGATACCGATCATTCATGCACAGTTTCAAAGAAATCCACCTGTTAGTTAAGGAGAAGTTGCACAGACAAGTATTTCGCACAAAGGGACATAACTCCATCAAAAAAATGCTGGTGCACAACTGCATAAGATACCGATCATTCATGCAAAGTTTCAATGAAATCCACTTGTAAGTTGAGGAGAAGTTCCCCCGGACAAGTTACTGCAGACAACATCCAGACATCCAGACAGGTTGATTCCAGTATATATCCACTTTGTTGCGTGGGTATAATTAGGAGGTACCATGGGCCTGTGTTGAAGTTAGAGGTACCATTGACCTGCATAAAAGTAGGAGTTACAATGGGCCTGTATAGAAGTAAGAGGTACCATATAAGGCCTGTATTAAAGTAGGAGGTACCATGGGCCTGTATTGAAGTAATTGGTACAATGGGCCTGTATAGAAGTAAGAGGTACCATAGTAGGCCTGTATTAAAGTAGGAGGTACCATGGGCCTGTATTGAAGTAAGAGGTACAATGGGTCTGTATTGCTCTGTCTTAAAGTGTGTATTATTAATTTGCACTATTCATAGTAAGTGTGCAAGTTTAATTTATTATATCTTTTAAATACTTGCACCATACATGCTAAACATAAATTTCTTAATTTCATCTATATATAATTTTAACAGAAATTATACAATAAGCTATGTGGGAGGGGCCTTGGGCCCTGTTTATGTTTTACTTCATTAGATACTGATTCTGCATTTCAGACAAGTAAATTAGGGAGCATTTGTTTAACCTATCTCTTTTATACTTCAAGCTTTACACAGCATGCTTCATACATCTGACTCAGTGTCATAATTGTCCCCAAAGTTCAGAAAAAACTCAAAGTTAGGAGGGTTATTTTGACTAGTAAAATTAAATGTTCTCTTATAGACATATATATAGAACTGTATTGATCCCCTGATCATTAATTCAGCAGTAAAACAGGACAGCATGATGTAAAACTGACTCCAACAGCCTGGGACTGCTATAAGTGTCGGCGTGTACTGCTTATTTGTGAAAAAGAAAATTAATAAGTAAACAAACTTTATTGAGCTAAGTTTTTATCAGAATTTCTAAAATGTGGTTAAAATAACAACATATCTCCAACAAGCTAACATATCAATACAGCCATCACGATAGCATTTGTTCTCATACAGAACTAAGCAGTATTGTTCAAATTAATAATCGACAAGCCAGCATAAATAAACACTACCTTCAAAAGTATTTCTCATTCTTTACCAGTGCCTCTGTTTATCCTGTTTATTGTATATGTAGTCTATTGTGTGTTATATACAGTTAACTGATGAAATTAACTGATTATATTTATATGACCCAATTACAGAATGTTTACATCACTTTGACGTGGATTTATAGCAGCAAAGATAAGCTGTTCCCAACATTAAATGTTATTTTAATAGATACCATTAAGGTATGTATACTCACCTTGAGATTTACTATGGTCCCGTTATACACACATTAAAACATCAGCAGTTATCATTACAAATGTATGTTTATCATAACATGGAACAAACATATACAACATTAAATCACCTCTCTAACAGTTGCTGTAATATCTAGAACGATGGTCCCCTGTACCGTGACTATGTACCTATAGAAGCTTCCCATACACACCTTACTACCTCAATCATTAACGTGAGACTGACCTTTGACAGACCAGTGACACTGTCTTTGTCACCTCTCTAACAGTTGCTGTAATATCTAGAACGATGGTCCCCTGTACCGTGACCATGTACCTAGAGAAGCTTCCCACACACACCTTACTACCTCAATCATTAACGTGAGACTGACCTTTGACAAACTAGTGACACTGTCTTTATCACCTCTCTAACAGTTGCTGTAATATCTAGAACGATGGTCCCCTGTACCGTGACCATGTACCTAGAGAAGCTTCCCACACACACCTTACTACCTCAATCATTAACGTGAGACTGACCTTTGACAGACCAGTGACACTGTCTTTGTCACCTCTCTAACAGTTGCTGTAATATCTAGAACGATGGTCCCCTGTACCGTGACCATGTACCTATAGAAGCTTCCCACACACACCTTACTACCTCAATCATTAACGTGAGACTGACCTTTGACAGACCAGTGACACTGTCTTTGTCACCTCTCTAACAGTTGCTGTAATATCTAGAACGATGGTCCCCTGTACCGTGACCATGTACCTATAGAAGCTTCCCACACACACCTTACTACCTCAATCATTAACGTGAGACTGACCTTTGACAGACCAGTGACACTGTCTTTGTCACCTCTCTAACAGTTGCTGTAATATCTAGAACGATGGTCCCCTGTACCGTGACCATGTACCTATAGAAGCTTCCCACACACACCTTACTACCTCAATCATTAACGTGAGACTGACCTTTGACAGACCAGTGACACTGTCTTTGTCACCTCTCTAACAGTTGCTGTAATATCTAGAACGATGGTCCCCTGTACCGTGACCATGTACCTATAGAAGCTTCCCACACACACCTTACTACCTCAATCATTAACGTGAGACTGACCTTTGACAGACCAGTGACACTGTCTTTGTCACCTCTCTAACAGTTGCTGTAATATCTAGAACGATGGTCCCCTGTACCGTGACCATGTACCTATAGAAGCTTCCCACACACACCTTACTACCTCAATCATTAACGTGAGACTGACCTTTGACAGACCAGTGACACTGTCTTTGTCACCTCTCTAACAGTTGCTGTAATATCTAGAACGATGGTCCCCTGTACCGTGACCATGTACCTATAGAAGCTTCCCACACACACCTTACTACCTCAATCATTAACGTGAGACTGACCTTTGACAGACCAGTGACACTGTCTTTGTCACCTCTCTAACAGTTGCTGTAATATCTAGAACGATGGTCCCCTGTACCGTGACCATGTACCTATAGAAGCTTCCCACACACACCTTACTACCTCAATCATTAACGTGAGACTGACCTTTGACAGACCAGTGACACTGTCTTTGTCACCTCTCTAACAGTTGCTGTAATATCTAGAACGATGGTCCCCTGTACCGTGACCATGTACCTATAGAAGCTTCCCACACACACCTTACTACCTCAATCATTAACGTGAGACTGACCTTTGACAGACCAGTGACACTGTCTTTGTCACCTCTCTAACAGTTGCTGTAATATCTAGAACGATGGTCCCCTGTACCGTGACCATGTACCTATAGAAGCTTCCCACACACACCTTACTACCTCAATCATTAACGTGAGACTGACCTTTGACAGACCAGTGACACTGTCTTTGTCACCTCTCTAACAGTTGCTGTAATATCTAGAACGATGGTCCCCTGTACCGTGACCATGTACCTATAGAAGCTTCCCACACACACCTTACTACCTCAATCATTAACGTGAGACTGACCTTTGACAGACCAGTGACACTGTCTTTGTCACCTCTCTAACAGTTGCTGTAATATCTAGAACGATGGTCCCCTGTACCGTGACCATGTACCTATAGAAGCTTCCCACACACACCTTACTACCTCAATCATTAACGTGAGACTGACCTTTGACAGACCAGTGACACTGTCTTTGTCACCTCTCTAACAGTTGCTGTAATATCTAGAACGATGGTCCCCTGTACCGTGACCATGTACCTATAGAAGCTTCCCACACACACCTTACTACCTCAATCATTAACGTGAGACTGACCTTTGACAGACCAGTGACACTGTCTTTGTCACCTCTCTAACAGTTGCTGTAATATCTAGAACGATGGTCCCCTGTACCATGACCATGTACCTATAGAAGCTTCCCACACACACCTTACTACCTCAATCATTAACGTGAGACTGACCTTTGACAGACCAGTGACACTGTCTTTGTCACATCTGGGTTGGCCACTTGTAACTTCTTCCACAGCGACCAAACAAAATCTTTGTCCGCCTTTTGAAAAAAAAAGAGATATAAATCTATAAAATGCCTAAAACTTGTTTCAAAATTAAATGTTATTCATTGAACTGTGTTGGTATGGCGTTTACAGTCTTCATAAATGATTCAGTTTTGCAGGCCAACCTCATAATGTGCTGGTGTGCATTAGGATGTTTGCCTGCAAAGCTGTGTCATTCATACATACTGTAAGTGACATACCATCACAGTTCAATATAATTCTACTTAATAAAATTAAGCGTTTTTAATTCAAATTAGTGTATGTTTCGTGTATGCTTGTTTAATGAATAGAACAGCAATCTACCAGAGACGGTCAGTGACAGCTAACAGTGGGCCTTGGCATTTACAGTCTTATGAATGCCATCCAAACTTAATAGGTTTAAAAGTGTTAATTTAAATCTATAATTATTATATAACACAAATTAAAACATAATTGTGTCCAGTTTTTCTTACTATAATGTTCTTCCGTTGACAAACTTTTATAATTGTCAAATGAAAGCAATGAATTAATGTTACAAGCAAGGAACGAGATCAGGAAATCAGTTTGTTATTACATTCAGTTTCATTTCTGTGTTGTTGCTAAATGATTGGCAATCTTCTCAAGCAATCTACAAAAGTTGCAAATCCATTTGTGACTTATTCTGAGTACATTCTAGAATTTGTTGAAAGTACAATGTTTCTAACGGTCAAACTATTTAACATCCCCATATTGTACAAAGCAAAGATATTACTGATATTTCTACCAATAATGAACATCAATGTTATAAACATTACACCATGATAGATTTATGTCATATTGGTAGTACATACCTGACATTGTCTCAGCTCATCACATAACTGTTGATTGATGTCCTGTAGCTGGACAATCTCTTCTTCTGCAAAAGTTATCAAAAACAAATGTTTAATTTCACAGATATATTCAACCATTCTGTTACATGTGTCACATATCCAAAAGTCCCATACCAAAAAGAACTTGTAAATATGGTTTTATGATGAAATGGACTTGATTAATTAATGATTTTGAAAGGTACAAGAATTCAGTAACACCAGAATAATACTGACGAACAATAATAAGAAAATTAAATTGTTTTAAAGGGAGATAATAATAATAAAAGGGAGATAATAATACAATCAAAGGTGCCATGTGCAAGGAATAATATAACTTTTAGTCTTATATTGACACATGTTGATTCATTATTAACACACCTTAGTAACAGATCAATTAAATTACATTAGGGCCAGAATAAAAAGATATAATGCCATCAAATTTTTTTCCAGATCAAATATTTTCAAATTTTCATGAACAAGATTTTACTGTATTGAGTTTATAATCACACTTTGAAATAAATCATCTTTTTTTTTTATATCAAATACTTTGAAAAAGAATTCTAAATTTAAACTTAGTACAAGGGTATGCGGTACCATTTACATATAACAACACACCACTCCAAAAATGTGAAACCAACAAAGTTTAACATGTTACATGCCCCCCCCCCCCAGTATTCACCTTTTGACATGGAATTGGTCATGGTTGATGGTTTAAGTTTCCCTTCCTCCAGAAATGTTTTTTTTCTTTTAACGCTACATCTTCAACTTTATAAATTATACCATGCTAAACCTGAAACAAAAAAATAACAAATTATTATCAAATGACATTACACAGTATACTGAATGACAATATTCAGTAAAACCATTCATAGGTCTAAGGACATACTATTTTCAGTATTTTACAGTAAACGTGTCCATGTGGTTCCTATGCAGGAAAGTATACTAAACTAAAACTGCTATTTTGCATTTCACTAAAATGATCATCCCAAAGAATTTAGAAATGGCACATAACCCCAATAGAATTAAAAGAAACAGATTTTTTTTTTTTTTACTTTAATTTTACAAAGTCATCCAAACATGTAGCATGTAGCCCTATCACTGATACAAACCTTTTCTTGTATAATGTAAATTTTCTTTAATCATACATTTATGACTATGACTAAATATGGCATTTAATTAGTGAATTATTTGGTAAATTTCCTTGTTTACTTATTTATTTATGAAGCTGAATATTTTTCTCAGTTAATATTTGAACAAGCTATTTCTGTGAATATGTTAAAAAAAAAAATTAAAAAATTAAGATACAGTTGAAGAATAAATGGGGAATAATATTGCAAAGAGAGGTAGCTTTCCACTTTTTTCAGAATTTCTGTTTTTAAAACTTCAACAAAATAATCCTAAAATGGGATAAATCAGTTAAATGATTGATTGATTGATTGATTGGTTGGTGGGTGGGTATATCCTTTGTGTGGTTAAAAACTACAATTTTAGCTGGCTGCTTGCTGAACAAACATGTGTGATTTTAGTTATAAAATAAATAATGAAAAATCATCAGATATTGTTACAACAAAGCAATTTTTGAAATGTTCATAAATATTATCTCCAGATAATATGTATATCAGTGATATAGTAAAATGAAAAATGTGCTAATGCAACTGGCCAAACCTCATTTTAAACTTGTGTCATTTCAATTAACTTGGACTAATAATTACTTTGAATATTTGTATTTTAATAATTTAGTTAAAAAAAAACAAAAAACTTATCTGTTAAATTTATCCTTTAAACTGTTAAATTTGTCCTTTTGTCCTTTAAAATATGAAATAGACTGTAATACATAATTACATACAGAGATGCAGAATTAGAACAGTCTTTCCATTTGGTGTCTGGCCCTAATTAGCCACACTGTCCCAGCCTTCCTGGTAACTTTAGCACAGGTAACCTTGGGACAAGGGGAGACCGACAGGTTTTACCTGGTAACTACAGGTAGACTGGACCTCATTTACTATTACACACTGTTTAACACCTGTGTTATTTGTGAGGTGTAAACCCCAATTAGTGTTGTATAGGTAGGTAGATACAGAGCCCAGGAAAACAACAGGTTAGACCATGCTTGACCTCGGACTACACTGTTATATGGTGGCTGGAGTTATTTTGAAGTAAACAGTCAATCAGTGTCCCTCATTCTGAAGCCATCGCCAAAGGGGTCTGGACCTACCACTGTACAGATATTTGTTTGAAACTAGTTTTAATTTCAAAACATGCTTTGTAATTTTGTTTTAAATGCTGTACTGCAGATATATATAATTTCATTTGAGGTTAAAACACCATTATGTTGTCCTTTTTAAGCTTCTTATTTAGCACTCATCTACAAAAGCATTGGATGATACCTGCGAAGGTAATACAAAGCAGGGACAGTATATACGTCCTTGTACAAAGATAGTAAAAGAATTCAATAGAATTAATCTGTTAAATGTTTGTTGTGATGAAATAATTCAAATTACATTGAATTATCACTATTGAATTAATATTGTATATCCAATTGGTCAATGAATATTGCACCAGTATTTTATCTATACACTTGTAATACCATCAAAAATATTTAATGCTGTAAATTTAAAATGCATAAGTATTGTAATAATGATAAAATGTTGGTTTGAAATCTATGTAACCACAATAGAATATTTTATTCTAGGTATTTTGCATTGTATACCTGCTGGTAATCAGCATTGTACTCACAGCACTGATGTAGGTCAGAGTTTTTTTATTCAGAAAATTTGAGGTTTTTTTGAGGACCCCCACTAAATCTTTTAGTAATGGGACTCTTTGAAATTTTGAAAGAATATGTTCAGGACTTGCCTGAAATATTTTTTAAAAAATCACTGGTATTTTTGTGCAGATAAGTAAAATTAAGCTAATAAGTTACAGTTTTATAGATTTAGTGATGAGCATTTGTGCATGAGCCCAAATTACATGAACTAGACATGATATAATGTCTTTGCAATGTGTTCAAATATTCTACCAAGGACACTGTCATTTTGGCAAAAAGTTGTTTAAATTTTCATCAGTTTGTGAGGGGAAAAAAATCAATTTCTATAATTGATAATAATTAAATAATAATAAACATAATTTCAGCAACAATGAATTTATATTTTATATTGTTTCTTACACCTTTATACAAATTGTCCCTTAAACCTGATTACCTTGATGTGTGAATTACTGATAGACTAGAAATATGGATCTGGGTTGTTTTTCCCTAAATCCACTTCGCCCAAGGTTGTTTCACCCAAATATAAATATGTATTTTTACATGATAAGTATCTGTTGAAAAGTTTAAAATGAAAATGTCATGAAGGTGTAGCTACATTGTATGTGCAGACAAAACTAAACAGGACTAAAACATTTCACTCTAAAAATATGTTTAGGGTGAAACAACTTAGTGTAGATAGATGTAATAGGAGTGAAACAATTCATAGCCAGAAGGATTCAAACTCGGGACCCTCCACACTCTAGACAGACGCTCTCCAATTGAGCTACCTGGTTGCCGGCAATCGACCCTGTCCAGTTCCCCTACATATAATATGGTTTGTGTTACTATTCATGTAATTGGAATTAAGAGTAGTGTGTTGCCACCTGCGGCGGCGACCCCCCCCCCACACACACACACACACCCACACCCACCCACCACACACACACTCAATTTACAATATTGTTATCTCAAATTCATTACTGTTTACAAGTTTTTAATTCCAAATAACAGTCATGATAATGTTTTGATCATTTTAAACAACACTGATAAGAAAAGGGAAAATAAATATATACACAGTGAAAGCGTCAGAACAATATTCTATTTACTAGACGAAGCATATTACTTCTGAAGTGATTTTCCCCTGAAAATAAATTAGACAAAACTTACATATTTCATATTGCAATACACTGGCAAATGCATCCACTGACATTCACAACAACAACACCTGTTTTGAATATATCCCTCTTATATCCCGTTTGCCGATCAACATACAAAAACTTGACAGGACTTGCACGAAAACACGAGCGCAAACATAATTGATTGGTTTTTACTTTAAAGACAACAACTCGTGTACAATGATGATACCTATTGGACATTTGTGAATATGGAAAAAAATCTATAGTTTGCGATATTTGAATTACCCAAAATTCTTCAATAAATGCATCTTGAATGTAAACACTTTTTAAAGCAGGCGCCGGAAGTTGACAAAACCCCGCGGTCTGCTTTACGATAGTTTGTGTATGTCGTAAATTAAAGATTATAGTATTTCTTTACCTTGCTATGTTATTATAGGGAATTAGATGAATAAAACTAACAAAAAAAGTAATCAGTATCGTCAAAATCAATGGTCTTTATATAACCTGAAACGGAATGTCGTGATAAAGAAAAGCGTACCGTAAGTTTCACGCGCCATCTTTTAACATGTGGAATTATTGACGCATGATCACTGGACATACACACGTAAGAATTGAAACAGTTATTTCAAAAGAATAAGTAGTAAATTTCTTAGTGAAGTTTGCTGCAATACATTGATTATGGGGGTTTCCCCCACTGAAACTGTTTTCCGTCCGTTGTCAACTTTTCTTTTTATTAACTCTTGATTGCAGCTTATTTGCTGCAAATCTAGTTCAGAAATGGCTTGACATTGTCAAAAGTTGGTATGACAATACTATGATAATTATTTTAGCTTATGGCATGGAAGGTTATGGGTATAAGGCTTGATACTGAAATTAACAAAAATGGACAAACTGTTTAAATTTACAACACAAATCATACAAAGAATTTCCTGAAATCACATGTGACATTCAGTTTTAGTTTCACCTTCCCGAAGTAAATATATAGAAAAGTACTAACAACAAAACATAAGGGAAATAGAGCAGTTATAAATTGATAACTTGTTTCAGGTGTAAATTAACCAGTTCAAAAGATAAAATTATTGGAAGGGTCTTTAAGGTCATTTAAACTCTACTGCTACAGTTCAGTTCAGTTCAGTCTTCAGATTCCTCTGATTATTTGGCGGAGCACCCAAGTAGGTCCTTGGTGAGTTAGTTGGATTGGCGAGGTCCTTTAGAATATAAAACACTGTAGCACAGGGAATTCACACTGGGGCTATATACAAATGGACGTATTTACATGTGTCCCTATCATCAGCCCATCATGAAACTCAGTCCAATCATGAGTAGTGGTAATCTGGATATACTAATGTCAATGGGAAATGGGGAACATCATTGATTGCTCAGAGATTGAGTGCAGATAGGTAACGGATTCTCTTCAGATGTATGTTGGTAAGGAACCCCCTGGAGCAGAGTTTGATCCTGCGGACTATTTCTTCTCTGCGTTTATGATGCATCTGTTGATCAGTGAGATGGCGAGAACAGTTGGGGATAAGTTGAGTGAAGCTCTCAGGGTCTTCCAGTAGATGCTGTTTTGTCAATACAGGGATCTCTATGAGTTTTCTTTTGCATCTGAGTCTAATATCCTCCAGTCTGCAGCATTCAGCTATGAAATGGCATCTTGATTCAGGTTGGGAGTCGCAGAGTTTACAGGTGGGGTCGATCTCAAATTGGTTGAATCTGGCCCGGTTTGACTGTAGAATGTACGTTCCAGTTAGAATCCTGGCTTTTAATTCTGCTCTTTGTACGTCCCTTTGTATTGGATTTGTCATTGAGTATAGATGGTGGGGTAATCCAACTTTCAGTGCATCTGGGTTTAGATATTTCAGAGAGGGTTTCTCTTTTACCTCGTCTCTCCAGTCAGCTTCCACTTTCCCGTTTATGGCCGCATTCAGGATGCGTCTCCATTCATATTTATTAAGGAGCAGCTGGTATGCTGTTGGCAAGTTGTAGAGTTGCAGTAGTCGCCGGATCTCTGAGAAGATGCTGGGTTCTTCAGCTGACTTTACAGCAAGTTGCCGCACAGCAATCCTGTATTCGATGGAGTTTGGTTTAGACAGGACATAGTGGAAAAGGTCGAGCAGGTTTTTATGGATGACAGTGGTGGTAGGCAGGATACCGACGAGGCCAAGAACAGCCACGGAGGGTGTTCTGTCTGGTAGGTGCTGCATTTGACGTAGATACTTCCTCTGAAATCTCTCGAGGCTTTCCAGGTTGGACTTGGTGAGGAGCTGCGTCTCCAGGCCATACAGTATTCTGGGAATGATGTAAACTGACCAGATATATCCCTTTGAGGTTTGGCTTAGCCCAGTCTTGCCATGCAGACCTGCAACAGTAGTAGCTTATAATGCTCTGTTGAGAGGACTCCTCCTTGTCTAACACCTTGCTGTAGATTGATTTCCTTAGAGAGTGTTACTTGCCATTTTACTCTGGATGTCATATTCTCATAGAGGTTATGTAGAAGGATCCAGTCTAGGCATTGTATACCATCGAAGAACAGTTGGTGGAGGAGGATTTCATGATTTACCACATCAAACGCCTTCTGTGTATCTAAGGTCGTGAGTAATAGTTTCTCCTTGTTTGATTTGGCTTTTAGTTGGCATTCTGTGATAATTGGGACTGATTTTGCTGATGAGGTTCCTTTTGTGAAGCCCGATTGGAGTTGGGACTTGGTTCTCAGAAGGATCGTTTCATGTCTGCTCTTTCGTACATGTTCTAGTATCTTTAGTAGTACAATGAAAATTAATTATATCGACATTTAAATAATAAATACACCGTAGTCTGTACTGTAACAGGTTACATGGGACAAGAAGGAAGCATCTGATGATCAGGTAGAAATAGTTAAAGCACACACTTAGACTTAGTACTAGTAAGGGGGTTCTGGGTTCTAAATTCTAAACCTCGACATGAAACTACATTTAAGAAAAGATCCTTTTTTTTTCTTTGTTTGTTTTTAAATTTGATTCAATAAAAACCAAATATAAAGAGGTCAAACGCTTATGTCTCCAGGGTCCAGTAACTCATCCGGTCGAATTGGACAAGCGAAATTTGCTGGGACAACTAGATCTTTCCGACTACTGGATGTCCCTACTGTGACGTTGCCAGGTCATGCAGGTTTCTGAATCAGTGAATGCAAATCCCACCCTTCGTAATACACATGCTTTTCTTGTCGTATTTTCGTGTTGTCATTTCCGTATTGTGTATCGTGCATTCCATTATCGTAGTGTAAATTATAGTAACACCGGGTAAACAATAGTACACATGCGTGACGATGATATGTCAACACCTGATATCGAGACTTACTTGGAAATAAAGCGTATGATACAAAGACATAAATTAACTCACAGGAAGACATTGACGTACGATCAGACTACTTCAGGAAGGTCGTTTATAAGGCGCATCGAATGCAGACTGATGTGTTTTGTTTACACACCTGTACATTTCACGTGCTAACACTAGTTCACAAGCTCGGGGTCGCTACGATTTTTGTTGTTGAGTTACGCTCTGTAAGGTAATCATTTCACAAATGCTATAACAATAACTCTGTGAAAATAGTGTTTTATAAAATATCAAGATCCCTATAAAATGCTGCATGTACCATGCGATAGCCTATGGTTACATATGTACCTGACATGTAAATATTCCAGGCGTATGGAATGATGTCCAAAGTGTACGTGATTGAGAGTAATTTTGATCTATAAAAGAACAGGTAATTGACAGTTTTAATATCATAAATTAATTTGTTTCCGTCGTTTTTGGTAAAGTAAAGAAAATAAATGTCATTGTATACATTCTATCCCTCTACAAAAAGTTCCGTTTTTTTTTCAAGGTAGACAACTCTCATCAGAATCAAAATGATTTTAAAATGTAAAATAAATGAGTTATTAAGGCTTTGTGTATATTTGGTTCAATTCATCACTCTGGTTTTTTTTTATTAAACTATGTGTCCTGTTTGCTTTTAGCTTGTATGTAACTACTTTTATCCATACAATTCCAATAAAAAGCACTTTGTGTAACGTGTTTTTGATATTTTATGATAAATACAATATTTGTAGGGTTGATTAGCAAAATTGCTTTTCATTATTTTATTGTTGTAATAGTTTTGAACAATGCCACACACTCAAAAAAGGTGAAAGTGATAAAATTGACAAAAAATCAATTTTTCGTTTTTTTTTACACAAAAAAACCCAGTTTATCGGAATGCTTAGATTGTCATAAAATCGTCTCTACATAGTGACATAACCATTATGTGTAACTTTAATTGAATTCTGCTGAGTAATTGTAAAAGGGTGGAGCCTCCTTAAGTATAAATAACAACATAATGTCAGACTTAATAAATCCTGGAGGTGATAGTTAAAAAAAAGCATCAACTACAAATATTAATAGAATTCGGTCAAGTGAATATTTTAGGTCCCTAGCTATAGTCCTGTGTCTATAGTGGTTTGGGGAAAAATTCCAGACCTCTGATATATATTTGTTAATAATTTGAAGGACAAAAGGGTCTTTTGTGTCCTTTTTCTGTAAATAGATGATGAATTATATATAAACTAAAACGCTATAAAATATTGAGTCCACAAAGTGTTCATTATAGAGAAATTTCATGGTGATTAGATGACCACAGTGTATACATATTCATGATTTCTTGATGATAGCACACATTTTTAGAATGGTGGATGTGGGAGTAAAAAAAATCATCTAATGATAGAAAAGTCTATTCTTAAAAGCTTCATAAACACATGGACCATGAAAATGTCATATTGATTCCCTAAGATTGCCGGTTGACATCGGCCATACCAGCTGTAGAGACCAGCCGTAAATTGGCAGTTATTGTATCACTATTATTATGTCTACCCCTATGGCCCTATCCCAGAAATAGCACTGTTCAATATTAATGACTTACATTGCATGCTTTATGATCTGTGTTTGGTCAATTTCAGTTTTACGATGTCATGGTAATTTCTTCTAACTTGATGTCAACAGCCCGTGCTTGACTAATGGGTCTACTGCACTATGTATTAATCCAATCTCAGGTATAGAGGCCTACACTCAAACAACAACATACAGATTGAACTTGAGACCATGATTTGTTTGTGCATTACATAATCATGGAACAGTAAAATAATAATAAAGCAGTATTTTTAAAAATTGTTTGTTTAAACCTAAATTATGGTCCTCCTACTGCACTCATTCTGCCGTAAGTCGTTAACATACTAACTACACACAGTGATAAGAATGCTGTTAATTGTAAATGTGGCCGAAGGAAATGGAAGCCAAAATATAAGCGAAGACACCTCACTCGAGAATTTTAAAGTGATGAGGTAGTTGCTTGGGGGACCGGGCAAAGCTGTGTGGGGTTTCATTGGTCAATTCTGGACCCTCGGTTCATACTGATGTACATGTTGGTCAGCTTTAACAATGCATACCATATTTGGTAATACATATATACTTAATACTTGATACTTGATGCTTAATGCTGTGATGTTCGTTTCTATATGGAATGATAAAAGTAACAAAAAAGCTGGACAGTTAGGGAGTAGTTCAGTAACCAGTGTATGTAGAGCTAACAAGATATTTATGCAAATAAGATTATATCCTACCAATCAAAGTGTTGATAACATACACTCATTAATTAGGGGTCTTTTTTAGAGGCCTCTGCTCAATGATTTGTTTGGGTTTTACAGGGTTGAGCGTCCTATAACAGCTAATATCAGAGCAAGATGCAAATGATTTATTTGCACATTAATTAATAATAAAACGGTAAATTAACAACATATTATTATTTGTAGTTTACACTGATATGTCCTGTAAATAATTTAAGTTTTATTGCACCATAAAATTATCAAAAAACACCTTTCAGATGCAGTTCCTTTTGCTTGTCAACAAACGGTTGGTTTTATTTTATAGCCATTTCTCATTTCTAAACATTTTAAAATATAATACTTTGGAGACATATTTCTTCCTTGGTGTTGACAAACTGTGTTTGACATGGCACATATGTATTCCAAATATAGACACTTTACTCTAACAATTTCAATGACAATCTAAATGAAATCATCACAATGTAATTTGCCTATACTTTACAGACTTGGAGGAGACCATCAGCCATGGCATCCATTTTTTTTGCATTCTTCACTAATAGGTGGAAATATAGAAAAGGAGACTTTTACTGAAAATCACCACTTCAGGTAAACAGTACCACTGCATCAGTTAAAATCACAAAGAAGAGTTCCAATTAAAGTTTTTTTCACTTTGAGTATTCTCCCTTCAATAAAAAAGATGAAGCAACCAAAAGGAGTTCCTCTGGCTTGTAGTAACTGCCCCTGTCAAATTATTCATAGGATTTGCCTTTCATGTATAATTTTTTAATGGCATATTCAATATAAGGATAGGCTAGAAATATTGTAAGATATACTTGTTGTATGTACAGCCTTAACATTTATAACAAAGAATGTAGTGATATGACCTACCCTAAAGCCTAATTTTGAATAATTCAAAATTACATGTCTTATTGAATGATATGCTTTTTTTGCATTTCAAAGTGTCATTTAATTACAGGGGTCATATCATCAACTTTACAAGAATAACCTCTTATTATCTGACTGAAACAAGTGCTTCATTCACTTTTCATCAAAAAACAAGGTTTTCTCAACTTCGGAAATTATTAACTGATGTGCCCAAGGGATTTCAACAGTCATATGTGTGTTTTATGATATCTGTTGCATAAAACATTCTATTAAAAAAAATCAAAGTAGATAACTTTGTACTATAGAAAATACTGTTTATGACATATTGATACAGCAATCATTTACCCATTCACCCCTGAAGTCACATTTGAACCTTACCAAATCAAAGACTGGTCAAGTCCAGTTTTAATATGTAGGGGTGAATGAGTTAAAGTAACTGTGACACTAATATTGTTTTATCATCCTAGCCCGTACAGTTATTAACTCACAACAACAAAAATGAAAGTCAAAATTGGTCTGTAAGGGTGAATTATTGTGTAATCTGTTTCATTACATCAACACTAGGGAGCTGGCTTCTGGTGGAAATGCTGCTGCATGCTTGTATATCACAGCAGGTTAGTATAAAGGTGACATTGCAACTATTCTGTCTACAATCATTTGTCATTATAGTCAACTATCCTGTCTACAATCATTTGTCATTATAGTCAACTATCCTGTCTGCAATCAGTTGTCATTATAATCAACTGTCCTGTCTACAATCAGTTGTCATTATAATCAACTGTCCTTTCTACAATCATTTGTCATTATAGTCAGATGTATTTTCTACAATCAGTTGTCATTATAGTCAACTATCTTGTCTACAATCAGTTGTCATTATAGTCAACTGTCTTGTCTACAATCAGTTGTCATTATAGTCAACTGTCCTGTCTACAATCAGTTGTCATTATAATCAACTATCCTGTCTACAATCAGTTGTCATTATAGTCAACTGTCTTGTCTACAATCAGTTGTCATTATAATCAACTGTCCTGTCTACAATCATTTGTCATTATAATCAACTATCCTGTCAACAATCATTTGTCATTATAATCCACTGTCCTTTCTACAATCAGTTGTCATTATAATCAACTGTCCTGTCAACAATCATTTGTCATTATAATCAACTATCCTGTCAACAATCAGTTGTCATTATAATCAACTGTCCTGTCTACAATCATTTGTCATTATAATCAACTATCCTGTCAACAATCATTTGTCATTATAATCCACTGTCCTTTCTACAATCAGTTGTCATTATAATCAACTGTCCTGTCAACAATCATTTGTCATTATAACCAACTGTCCTGTCTACGATCAGTTGTCATTATAGTCAACTGTCTTGTCTACAATCTTTTGTTATTATAGTCAACTATCCTTTCTACAATCAGTTGTCATTATAGTCAACTGTCCTGTCTACAATCATTTGTCATTATAATCCACTGTCCTTTCTACAATCAGTTGTCATTATAATCAACTATCCTGTCAACAATCATTTGTCATTATAATCCACTGTCCTCTCTACAATCAGTTGTCATTATAGTCAACTATCCTGTCTACAATCAGTTGTCATTATAGTCAACTATCCTGTCTACAATCATTTGTCATTATAATCAACTGTCCTGTCTACAATCAGTTGTCATTATAATCAACTGTCTTGTCTACAATCTTTTGTCATTATAGTCAACTATCCTTTCTACAATCAGTTGTCATTATAACCAACTGTCCTGTCTACAATCAGTTGTCATTATAGTCAACTATCCTCTCTACAATCAGTTGTCATTATAGTCAACTGTCCTGTCTACAATCAGTTGTCATTATAATCAACTATCCTGTCTACAATCATTTGTCATTATAGTCAACTATCCTCTCTACAATCAGTTGTCATTATAATCAGCTGACCAGTCTACAATCAGTTGTCATTATAATCACTTGCCATTTGTCATTATATTCAGATTTTCTTTCTAAATTTTCCTATAATCAGGTATCCTAATTCTTATCTATACAAATTACCTGTCTTTAATAGTGTTTTTTTAATCACTCAGTTGACATGTGTTGTCTTTGTGGTCAGGTGTGCTTTCTATATAATCGTTCACCTGAATCAAACGCAAAAGTAACAAACTGTGATTCGTTTTTGTCCATCTTGTGTTTTACACTGTAAACTAACACTGAAATAGCACTGATTGATGTACCAGTAGTGTTCTCACTTTATATTTGGGTGTTCAGTCCCATATAATTATAAACCGATTTTGCAATCAATCATCGATCGGTTTGCTACTTACGATTATATACCCATTATCAATTTTGATTTAAAACTAAGTGGCCATCACTACACCAATATGAATTTTTCAAAAATTTATTTCTGAGCTAGTATTCTAAGCACAAATTTAACACACCCTTTTTTAATGAATAAGTGTCTATTAATTTATAGACTAGCTATTGCTTCTAGATTGATCCACTGAGTAAAAAATAAAAATAAAACATTTTATCAATGTACAAGAGTGTTGAGTAGAATATAATTAATTAACAGATTTTTACTTTATTTTGTGCAGTGATAAGGAGATCAGTTGTTTAACAATATATCAGAGTTATAAAAATTACTGATTGTCAAATTGTGAAGATCTTATCATAGGCAAATAAAATTGTTAAAAGCTTGAGAAAAAAGAAAACTAATATCACATTCAACAGTTTGTTAATGCAACCAATCAAGTGTATTGTCATCTAATGCAATGTAATGTAGTCCCTCATGTCCTCGTCCTCGTCGTTTTATTCACTCAATCAATTAACTCATATTGTCCTTCCAAAAATAATCGGATTCCCCGAGTACACATTGACGACAATAAGTGAAGTGGTAGAGGAACACGGATGGTCGTGCAGGATTCTATTGACTTCTCTGTGGGAGTCTGCAAGCTCTGTATAGAGAGAACGTTTGTGACACTGTTGGGGAAAACGACAAGTCCTGACTCATATTTAGTACAGAGGATAATTCCCATTAATTACAGTCGGAAAGAAAGTAAATATTGAACTTTTTCTGTGTGACTGTGATGAAGTGTATTGAGTTTGCAATCAGTCCACAGTGTCTCTTAGCTATGGATTTTTTTATTCTGTCCTGATTTTGTTTCGTTAATGGCATACCAGTGTGTATACATCAATTTGTCACCAGTCCTATGACAGTGCTAGTCCTTGTTGGTGTGGGGACAGAAAATCGCTGGAATCATGCGGGTGGGAACTGGGCCAACAGCCAACTGTTATATGTCTTGATTGGTCTCAGTGTGTCGTGCATGTTGTAAGAATTAATTACCGACACATAGGACCACAAAGGGAATTTTAATTAGGGGTAAATGATTAGCATAACCGTATGGAATGAAGTGCCATCTGCCTGTGATTGAGACGTGACTAGGTATTGATTGATAACAGTTTGAATTGCTTCAGTGTTTGTGTGCTGGAAGAGGTGACGTTGCTGCCATATTGTCCTGTGCTGCATCCTGTCTCTACTTAGCTTGTCTTGTCTTATATCAAACTGATCAGGCACGTAGCGGGCATGGGACCCAGGACGACACACACCGACAACCGCCCCTAACCACACGCCAGCCACCACAATCACCATCCTCCTCATCACTGTTGCTCTTTTCGACTGATCAATCGTCACACATGAATGATTCTGTGGCAGAGTTTGTTGGTCCGTGAACAGGGGACATGGGCCAGTTGAGATAGGGCGAGTACGGGGTCCCCCCTGTCATGAACTTGGAGCCAATCCAAAGGTAAGCTGCTATACATAACGGCACACACGAGGCACTGACGTCTCTGCCAGCGTCAGAACTTAGACCTTGAATATAGCGGTAGCCTGCACCAATGACACTCTGTCGGATGTACGGTAAAGGTAACGGATCACATAGTCACCACTGTCGTTTATAAACATTTCACACTCTATTAATACTCACAGTTTTGTCTAGTAGTGTATTATGACTTTGTTTTACTTTTTTTCACGGAACAATAGCACACCAAGTTTATGTACTGCACACAACGACTTCACAGATTGATTCTATTGATTTTTGGTAGTTGCATTTCTGCCACTTGAGCATATCGGAGGCAAACGACACTTACCTGGTTAACGGGCTAATGATAGAGAATTTGTGGAGGGGTTTACAATGCCTGCAAATTATTTATTGATTCTTGGAGGAAGAAGAAAAAAATAGGTTTGATTTATAAATGTTTCATGAATATTATTGACTTTGCAGTTTAATGTTATCAGTGATTGTTAAATATTATTAATTATTCTAATCATGAATTTTATCTGGGTGTTTTTTTCAAAAAATTTGAATTGTTGAAAAGCTCTGTAAATTGACAGTTTCTTCACTTCATTCTAATACAGTGTGCTGGGTTTGATTTTTTTTGGACAGACATCGTGGTTAAAATGTATCTATCACATTTTCTTCATGATCCTACCTTTTCTGGCTGGACAACTTTTTTGTCTCTTAAACACAAATCACTATCACAGTAACACATATTTATAATGAACTAAGGGATGTCAACCATTAGTTTGTTATATGGGGTCCCACAGGATTTCAACCATTAGTTTAGTATAGGGGGCCCTGAAGATTTTAACCACTAGTTTAATAGGGTGCAAAGGGATGTCAACCATTAATTTGTTATAGGGGTCCCACAGGATGTCAACCATTAATTTGTTATAGGGGTCCCACAGGATTTCAACCATTAATTTGTTATAAGGTGCACAGGGACATCAACCATTTAAGTTTGTTAAAGGTGGCCCAAAGGTTTCAACTGATACTTTGTTGTAGGGTGCATGGTACATTTAGGTGTACATTGATGTCAACAATTATTTTGTTATAGGGGTCCCAGGGGATTTCAACCAATAGTCTTTTAAAGGGGACACAGGGGCGTCAACAAGTAGTAGGTTATAGGGGTCCCAGGGGATTTCAACCAATAGTCTTTTAAAGGGGACACAGGGGCGTCAACAAGTAGCAGGTTATAGGGGTCCCAGGGGATTTCAACCAAGAGTCTTTTAAAGGGGACACAGGGGCGTCATCAAGTAGTAGGTTATAGGGATCCCAGGGGATTTCAACCAATAGTCTTTTATAGGGGACACAGGGGCGTCAACAAGTAGTAGGTTATAGGGGATATGGATACGTCAACCATAGGTCAGTGTTTCGGGTCCCAGATGATTTTAACAAATAATTTGTTGTAAGGGGGCCCAGAGGATTTCAACCAATAGTTTGTGGTAGGGTGCACGGGGATATCAACCATTAGTTTGTTATAGGGAGATATCAACCGTTAGTTTGTTATAGGGAGATATCAACCATTAGTTTGTTATAGAGTGATATCAACCGTTAGTTTGTTATAGGGAAATAGCAACCGTTAGTTTGTTATAGGGTGATAGCAACCCTTCGTTTGTTATAGGGTGATATCAACCGTTAGTTTGTTATAGGGAGATAGCAACCGTTAGTTTGTTATAGGGTGATATCAACCCTTTGTTTGTTATAGGGAAATAGCAACCGTTAGTTTTTAGGTCACCTGAGACAAAGTCTCAAGTGACCTATTTCGATTCCCTTTTGTCCGTCGTCCGTCGTGCGTCCGTAAACAATTTACATTTTCGACTTCTTGGCCAAAGGTCAACAAAAAAAGTTGCCGATTTGGTCCCCGGCCCCCAGGGGCCTGAGGAGCGGGGCCAAAAAGGGTCAAATTGCCTAAAATTTCAAAAATCTTCTTCTCAAGACTTAGATATGGTAGAATCAAATACTCTTCATAGATGGAAGGGTCTTAAGGTGCTTTAACAAATTTGTGAATTTCCTGACCCTGGGGTCTCATGTTTCCCCCTGGGGAGGGGGTAGACTTTACTATAGTTTATATAGGGAAATCACATTTTGGACCAACATTTGTTTAATTGCCATTGGAGGTAATTCAATTTAGGTTAGTATTAATAGTATTGGGTAGCAGTTTGATGGTATGCACATATGATCCCTGACTGACCCCCCGGGGCTATTGGGTGGGGCCAAAAAGGTTTAACTTGACTGAAATTTCAAAAATCTTCTTCTCAAGACCCAGATATGGTAGAATCAAACACTCTTCATAGATGGAAGGGTCTTAAGGTGCTCTACCAAAATTGTGAATTTCATGACCCTTGGGTATCACGTTTCCCCTTGGGGAGGGGTAAACTTTACTATAGTTTATATAGGGAAATCACATTTTGGACCAACATTTGTTTAATTTTCATTGGAAGTAATTCAATTTGGGTTAGCATTATCAGTATTAGATAGCAGTTTGATGGTATGCACATATCAGCCCTGACTGACCCCCTGGGGCTGATGGGTGTGGCCAAAAAGGGTTGAATTGACTGAAATTTCAATCAAAAATCATCTCAAAGACCCAGATATGGTAGAATCAAACACTCTTCATAGATGGAAGGGTTTTAAGGTNTGAGCAAGTCCTACCCCTAAGGGCTGTAGGGTGGGGCCCAAAGGAGTCAGTGTGCTAAATTTCTTCATTTTCCTTGTTTAGAATCAGAGGTGCTAGTTTCAAATACTTTTTAGTCTTAAATCTGTATGCATGATATTGAATAAGGTGGTTTTATTGTTTTTTGTCACTGAATAATATTTCTGTTCGTGTTAAAAACAAAATCAACTCTCTGTATAAATATATCAGGTGACTGTTAAGGCCCATGGGCCTCTTGTTTATAGGGAGATAGCTACCGTTAGTTTGTTATAGGAAGATATCAACCTTTAGTTTGTTATAGGGAGATATCAACCGTTAGTTTGTTATAGGGAGATATCAACCATTAGTTTGTTATTGGGAGACATCAACCGTTAGTTTGTTATAGGGAGATATCAACCATTAGTTTGTTATAGGGAGATAATAAGCGTAGTTGACTCAACCATTGATTTGTAATAGAGAGCTAGTAGAAATGACTCTACCATTGGTTTGTAAAAGAGAGCTAGTAGAAATGACTCTAGCATTGGTTTGTAATAGAGAGCTAGTAGAAATGACTTCAACATAAGTTTGTAATAGAGAGCTAGAAGAAATGACCTCTACCATTGGTTTGTAATAGAGAGCTAGAGGAAATGACTCTACCATTGGTTTGTAATAGAGAGCTAGTAGAAATGACATCAACCATTAGTTTGTAATAGAGAGCTAGTAGAAATGACCTCTACCATTAGTTTGTAATAGAGAGCTAGTAGAAATGATCTATACCATTAGTTTGTAATAGAGAGCTAGTAGAAATGACCTCTACCATTGGTTTGTAATAGAGAGCTAGTAGAAATAACTCAACCATTGGTTTGTAATAGAGAGCTAGTAGAAATAACTCAACCATTGGTTTGTAATAGAGAGCTAGTAGAAATAACTCAACCATTGGTTTGTAATAGAGAGCTAGTAGAAATGACATCAACCATTGGTTTGTAATAGAGAGCTAGAAGAAATGACATCAACCATTGGTTTGTAATAGAGTGCTAGAGGAAATGACATCAACCATTGGTTTGTAATAGAGAGCTAGTAGAAATGACATCAACCATTGGTTTGTAATAGAGAGCTAGTAGAAATGACTCAACCATTGGTTTGTAATAGAGAGCTAGTAGAAATGACATCAACCATTGGTTTGTAATAGAGAGCTAGTAGAAATAACTCTACCATTGGTTTGTAATAGAGAGCTAGTAGAAATGACCTCTACCATTAGTTTGTAATAGAGAGCTAGTAGAAATGACCTCTTCCATTGGTTTGTAATATAGAGAGCTAGAAGAAATGACTCAACCATTGGTTTGTAATAGAGAGCTAGTAGAAATAACTCAACCATTGGTTTGTAATAGAGAGCTAGTAGAAATAACTCAACCATTGGTTTGTAATAGAGAGCTAGAAGAAATGACTCAATCATTGGTTTGTAATAGAGAGCTAGAAGAAATAACTCAACCATTAGTTTGTAATAGAGAGCTAGAAGAAATAACTCAACCATTAGTTTGTAATAGAGAGCTAGTACAAATGACATCAACCATTAGTTTGTAATAGAGAGCTAGTACAAATGACATCAACCATTAGTTTGTAATAGAGATCTAGTAGAAATAACTCAACCATTAGTTTGTTATAGAGAGCTAGTAGAAACGACATCAACCATTAGTTTGTAATAGAGAGCTAGTAGAAATAACTCAACCATTGGTTTGTAATAGAGAGCTAGTAGAAACGACATCAACCATTAGTTTGTAATAGAGAGCTAGTAGAAATGACATCAACCATTGGTTTGTAATAGAGAGCTAGTAGAAACGACATCAACCATTGGTTTGTATTAGAGATCTAGTAGAAATAACTCAACCATTAGTTTGTTATAGAGAGCTAGTAGAAACGACATCAACCATTAGTTTGTAATAGAGAGCTAGTAGAAATAACTCAACCATTGGTTTGTAATAGACAGCTACTAGAAATGACCTCTACCATTAGTTTGTAATAGAGATCTAGTAGAAATAACTCAACCATTAGTTTGTAATAGCGAGCTAGAAGAAATGACTCAATCATTGGGTTGTAATAGAGAGCTAGTAGAAATAACACAATCATTGGTTTGTAATAGACAGCTAGTAGAAATGACCTCTACCATTAGTTTGTAATAGAGAGCTAGAAGAAAGGACTCAATCATTGGTTTGTAATAGAGAGCTAGAAGAAATGACCTCTACAATTGGTTTGTAATAGAGAGCTAGTAGAAATGACTCAACCATTAGTTTGTAATAGAGAGCTAGAAGAAAGGACTCAATCATTGGTTTGTAAT